AAAGGAGCTCCGGGTGCCAATGGGGCACCTGGTGCCCTTGGTGCTCCAGGTGCTGCAGGTGCCAAAGGAGCTCCTGGCGCAGCGGGTGCCAATGGGGCACCTGGTGCCCTTGGTGCTCCTGGTGCTGCAGGTGCCAAAGGAGCTCCTGGCGCAGCGGGTGCCAATGGAGCGCCTGGTGCCCTTGGTGCTCCGGGTGCTGCGGGTGCCAAAGGAGCTCCGGGCGCTGTTGGAGCAGCAGGTGCTAATGGTTGGGTGACAACTGGAGGTGCTGGGAGTGCTGGTGCAGTTGCCGGGGCAGCTGGTGGTATGGGTGCGGCTGCTACAGGTAGTGCAGGGGCAGTCGCTGATGCAGCAGGTGGCATGTTTGGAGCCACTGTGGGTGCTGCTGGTGGAAAGGGGGCCGCAGGGGCAGGCCTTCAGCCAAGGCGAGCACAATGACACTGACAGAAATTTGATGAGGGCATGAGGGCACTCTCAAGTTACAAACTGAAGTCGCCAACGCTGAACGATGCATCTCTAAACTCTAAACAGCCGCAGCTCTGTCTAGGCAAGAGCCGCCATGTCTGGGGAGCAGGCTGATGCACTGCTGGCAGAGGCCTCTCAAGAAACGATCTTAGTCATGCAATTTGTGACAACCAATGTTGGCGAAGCATCCCTAGCTTCGTGGGTTTTGTTCAGATGAGACGCCAACATGGAAAGCCTCAGGGTTACAGTGAATGGATGCTGGTTCGTCAGCAAGTCTTTCAACGTGAATGCGTCCTTGAGTTGTCACCTACCTGGTTCTTCCAAGTGGCGTTTTCATCCCCTGGTGTGAGATCACTTCGGCCTGCAAAAAGGTCACTTACAGACTCCAAAAAGGTTACTTTGAAGAAGCTGGTGCAACAGCTTTTGTTGGCCAGCATGTGTGCTTCGAGAATGGTACCAAATGGTTTCTCAAGTGCACCGCTACCAGGGGATCAACCATGTTGGTAGGTCGGTGAGGTGTTGGCCCGCCGCGAAGTCATCTTCCAAGCAAACCAACCAACCAACCAACCAACAAATCGATTGACTCGAAAGCAAGCCCGGCATCCCGATGCTTGGGCTCCCCCGGCGGCGGCACCGCTGGCACTGCTGGGGCAGTGAGCAGAGGGGCCGGCACTGGCGGCCTAAGTACGGAGGTCAGCTACGCGATGGAAGGCTTCAGAATTCCATGTCTTTCAGCATCTTCCCTTCCTGGAGAAGCCAAACACCAGGAAGTGGCAAGAATGCGTGCGCATCAATCGCCCAAGGCCTTTGATGGCCCCGGCATCTCTTCGCAGCCTTCCAAAGTCTGGTGATCCACAGTTGCAGGATCAAAGCCTAGTGCTTCCCCAAGCAAGCCTTTTTCCACCTAGATGGAGGCAACCATAACTCCGGGCGCTACAATTGTTGCCCTCATTCATAGCACTGCCTTCTCAATCAGAATACACGGAGCCACCCTTAAAATAGGCTTGACCTCCCAGGAAAATAGACCAAGACCCATTGTGCCAGGGGGTTCCCTATTGAAGTACTCAAACTTACACGAACCTTCGGCCAGCATCACCCTCGCGCGTCACTCGTTTTTCAGTCTTTCAACATGGCCGTGTCGAAAACGACCGTCGAACTCGCCGGGAACTCGGAAGCTGAAAGCGCGATGGTCTCCTCAGCCTCTGGCGGTGGTGCAGCCACGTGCAGCTCGGGCGCCGTAGCATTCAAAGGATTCAAACGCTGGCGGCCTGGACGAGCGGCATTCAAACCTAATCCGAAATCAATCTTGTCAGAGACATCTCGGACTATCTGTCCTATGTTCCCAGGTTACAGCCCATCCAAGTGCCAAGCTAGATCCACCTCGCCTGCTTTGGTTTCTGAGATGTGTTTCAGTCGCTCAAATTGCCCGATATATTTCGACCTCTATATAGAGGGATATCCGCTGCGTCCTACACCACCAAAAGCCTGTGCACGTCGAGAACCATGCTGCATGACGATGCGGAGTTCCATTTTGCGCTGCACAAGTGAAAGAATCGGTGATTGTTATGTTGGATGACGCTTTTCTCTACCCACTACGCAGCTCATTCGTTAAATGAAACATTTTTTGGGGTCTGTTCATTTCATTTGGGTTCGCACAATTTATGCGGCCCGCCTGGTGCCGAGCGGTCCAGCAAGGAGTTCAGAGCAGCCTGATCCTGCCAAGGCCATCAGCAGAGAGGGTACAGCACTATTGCAAGAAGAAATTGTTCACCATCCAGGAAAGGGAAAGGCATGACAGTGCGTGTCTTCTGGTCACCGTCGATGGCCTAAGTGGGGTTCTGTTTGACCAACGTGACCTGGCACTGTTTGCGGCCAACGGCCAAGGACGGGTCGCCCCCGCGAGGCGAGCATGAGCGCGAGCCTTCGGTTGCTCCCAGCTGTGGAGAACGCGGCAGGAGTACTCCGAACGGTGTTGTGACGTGGGCCAGCGATGTCGACCACGAAATGTCTTTAGACCAATTGAGTGGTGTTTGTTCCACTTGTCATGTTTCTTGGGGGGGGGGGGGCAGATTTGTTCTATTCATATTGATCTGAATGTCTAAGAGAACCTGGCAAGTACTCAGAAGGGTGGGACTCTGACCAAGTGGTGAATTCCAATAGAGTCGTAACTCGTCCTGAAACGTTTGGTTCTTAGCCATCCAAATGCTTCCAATCCACATGTCTTCACACCAAGTTGTCAACACAGAAAGTACCATTCTAATCCCTTCGGCTTCTAGAAAAGATGTCAAGAAGAACCACTGATAAGCATGTTGTATATATGTATATAATATATATATATATACAGTATATACATATATATATATATGTCAAACCCTTGATGTGATGAATCCATTCACCAAACCTTGGAGCTTCCACGACCGACACCCGGATCCGCCGGGGCGATCAGGGCCCCCATGCGCTCTGCGGTGACAGCACGAAGCCCCGCCTCGGTCCCAGCCACCGAACAGGAAGCGAAATGGGCGAAGAGGGAGGACACTAAGCGCTGGTTGACCAGGGTGTAAAGGTCAACCTGAGGTGAACTAAGGTCAAACTGGGTCAAACTGAGGTTAAACCCCTGGTAGTTTACTAAGCTCTACTGAGGTTAAACTACCAGGGTGTAAAGGGGTGTCGGTGCCAACTGCCCACAGCCAAAGAATTACTGCTTCAACCGGAGCATTGCTTGTTGGTGCGACCGTCCGCCTTTACTACAAACGTCCATGGTTCCATAAAACCATCTGGTGACATTGAACTTGCCGGCTGTTTCTCCAACCTGGAATCAGGGTGTTTTCTACAAGTGGAAGGGTGCAGTTCAAGGGGTCAATTCAGATCAAATAGAGTGTTGGTAGATTGGCAGCTTCTTTGCCCCATCATTGCAATGTCATGTGTTTAGCGAAAATTGATGAGGAATACTTGGACATCTTGGACATGCTGCAGCATGCAGCTGAGCCTGTCCACTTTGGCTGTCCTGCCCAAGGGGGAAAGCCTTTAAGACCAAGCCAAAGTGAGCCAAAGTGAGCCGCTGGGTTCAGCACATGCTGGCTTTCAAGGACAATGCTTGGTGATATTGGTGTAGTGTTTGCAGCAAAACTGGTGAGTGCAACTGGCTTTGGTTGGCTTTGACCAAGTAATCCAGGAGGCGCAAGCTTCTTTGGTCACAAAGATCACAAGGTGCTGCACGCTATCAAGACTGCCCAAACTTTTCGGATCCGCAGATTGACAGCAGCTGGGAATGGCTTCAGTTTCTTCTGCTTACAGCTGACAAGCCTGCTAGGGTGGCGCTTCTGTTCTAGGCCCCTTCGACCCAACTGCCAAAAACTTTGTTTGGCTCAGCTCAGGCTTGTCAGACGCTTCCTCACACTTCGTCGGCCAACGAACCACTTCCCCCCCGCATGTCCCAGCACTTCCAACCTAGCAACAAAGGTTGAAGAACCCTATAGAGCTGCCTCTAGACTATCCAATAGGTACCCCGGTAGTGTCCTTTTTTTAGGTCACTTAACCGCTTCCCACCTTGCCACCTCATCGCCTTCCATTCTCCAAGCATCTCGAGCCACTGGAGGTCGCTCAGCAGTCCCTCCATCTCACCGTCGGGCACCCCTTGTGCTCGGAATTCCTCCAAGAGGTTCTGCATGGACCTCTGGATCGCCTCCAGCACTCAACCAGCACATCCCAGCAGTGGTTACTACCGGTCTCGACCGGGCCACCGAGCGAGCTGTTCCCGGTTTCGACCGCTGCCGATGGGGTCGGCAAGGGGCATGACGAAAGGAGCAATCGAGAGGAGGGACACCCTGTGTTCTTGGAAGCCATGTTTGGAAGATTCATGTTGATATGTGTTGGTGCTGCCGGCATCAGTAGCAACTTCATGCAATGCCTTGCCCGGCGGACGTGTGGTGGTGGGGTGGGGGGTGGTGGACGGGTGACGTGTTCCGCACGTGTTCCGTGAGACCTGGCGCTTGCTCTGTGTTCGTTGGTGGACATGGCGGAATGTAACACGTTGACAGGTGCCGACTGTGCGGTGTCCCCACATCCAGTACTCTTCTTCCACTCTCTCCTCGACATCTACCCTGAAGATGCAACAAGCCACAGAGCAGTGAAAGCGCGTGTTGACTTGAAAGACACTGCAGCGGTCTAACGCACAGTATGCAAGAAGTTGAGAAATACTGTTTTGTACGGGTGTGTGTGTGTGTGTATTGATATGAGTGACCCGAGCAACAACACCGGCACCTAGAATCTACATGGCAACCCAGAAAAATAAAGGACAAGATGCGCAAGATGTATCAATTATCAATATGTTTATTAGATTCACCGGGTCGCGCGAGCGGATGACATGTTCAAACCTTTCTCGAGTTCTTCATGTTTGTAGCTCACCCTGGAATCTGACTGACATAACTCTGGACTCAAGTCCACTCGGCCGAGTGATGTTTCTCCATCACCACCCTCACCTGGTAGCGCGGCAGAACGCTGCTGTCACCCGGGGCGTAGGACAGTGCCAGCAAAAGCTTTCGAAGACACACCGGGCAAAGGAAGCTGAAGCGGCCCGCAGTGTCTTGAGGGCCGTTGCTGCCATTCCTGAGGTCTTTGGGTGCGACTCGTCGCACCACAGTCGTTGGATGTCTCAAGGGACCATGGGATTTAGGTTCGTGCGGATCTTCGGATCTCCACACGGTGAGAAAAACCGGTCAGATGATGGGTTTTCTCAGCACCAAGAGTCATCAAGCAGTGAAAGTAAACGCAGTGGAGCATCCCAAACCTCAGCTCTCAGGTTTCATCCACTTAGGAAACTCTCAAGTCTTGGCACAAAAGCTACAAAGTCATATTGGTCCTGAGTCCTGATCATTGACGTGCACTGGTTGAGCTGAGCTGCATATGGCAGGTCTCGTGCACCATGGTCCGCATACCTCAGGGTTCGACCCAGGCAACGACCCCTAAAATGAGGAACGTGGAAAATAGACCTACCCAGTGTGTGGGGGGTCTCCCATGATCTCGATAGATAAACACGCATTGGTCGGGATCCATGCCGAACCGTTGACATTGGCCGAGCACCAGCGGTCTAGGCGACCGCGCGACCGCTTCCAACCGATTTCGCCGGGGGTGGACAGCGATGTGAGTCGGGCGGCACCTCCATGCAGAGGTGAAAGCATGGGGGTAGAGGAAGCACGCGGGGGAATTGAAGACACACTAGCATTTCTTAGGTAAACCCTCCCACCCTCCCTCCCTCCACCCTCTTCCTTCACTTCTTCAACTACAGCATGCTACAGCTGGGACCCAGCTGCACTCGCGAAGCCAGCCAGCACCATCCTTGAGGCTGGGCACCTGGCGGTGGACTTCATCGGTGAAACACCGCCGGTGAACCGCAAAGACGATTCGGAACAGGAGAAAAGCAGCAGCGATGTTGTAGGACGTGGATTGGGAGTAGATGGCACAGACCCCATCTTGGTGGATGTGTTGGGGACCTGCATGGAGATAGGACGTGGTGCCGGTGCAAACCACTGTAGATCGAAATTTGCGTTCCTGGCGCAAATTCGGAGAATCCGATAGAACCACTCCAGTTGCCTATGTACCTGTACTACAGTAGTTTACGCCCAAAGGGGAAAGGCAAACGTCTCTGGCAACTATTACTTACGTAGTACATATATTATCTATATATCGCCACTGTAGATAATTTGCAAACTAGACGGTGCGAGTCTGTACCATGTATATATATATAGGTTCTCTTGTGCAAATATATCATACATCATCTTGTCTTTTGATCTTTGTCTTCAATAAAACTTCTCTTCGTGGTCCGCACACTTCCCAGTTCTCAGCCACCTCCGATGCATGCAGGCCCTCGTAGAAGAAGGGCGAGTGCCGCGCAAAGGAGAAGACCCCCACGCGCCTTGTGCCGCGGCCGCCACCCACGGGGCGTTTAGGAGTCAGTGGCGAGGTGGGTCCAAGCAACAACTCCAGCAAAGAAGGAAAACAGATACGAAATCGCGGATATTTATCTAAGTCAGGTGGGGGAAACGCGAGTGTCCCCACTAGGCTTTGTATCGATGCATAAGGGGAAGAGTTCACAAATGTGAGATTCTGGAGATCAGGTTTCTGTCCACGTCCGCTCAAAGCGGGACCACAAACACCATCAGCACAATGCGACAAGACTTTTTACTTTTTGTACTTTGTCAATCCATTCCCCTACTACAAGCCACAATAGTTCCATGCAAAAATGAACAGAGTCAGAGTCACCTCTGAGGCAGTCCTGTTTTACCCTGAGTCTTAATATAGAATCTATATTCATAAACCCCATTTGGATTGCACAACCTCTTCAAATGGGGGTTATTCATCAAGACTGTACATGATATAGAGGAATCTGTTCATTTGACCTGGGTCAGCCAGGGTTCCGGTGTTTGGACCGTCAGAAAAACTCTTCCGCGGCACTCCATGGGTCTGGCTTGGCCAAAGACATAGTTCCAGCCGTCACCCGGGTAGATGTCTTCCTCACCGAGGGACAGACCATCGGTCGTTCGGAGACGGTGGTGGCATCTGTGCCCTGGTGCCTACGTACAGTAATATGATTGGCACAGACCTTTACATAAGAGTAGCTTCTTGTTACTACTAGTAAGGCCCTTGCTCCTACTAGTAACTAGTAAGGCACTTGTTGCTAGAAGCGATGCACTTGTTCCTAGTAGCTTATTGAAGGGGTGAGTGCATTCTTAACTTCCGCCGCAGAGAAGAGTGCTGCAGCACCAAGTCAAGCGACGCACCAAGTACAGTCCTGTGGAGAACTCTCTACGGAGATCGAGAAACAAGGTCTGAGGCTGTTTCTTGCGCACAAAAAATATACAAAAATGCTAAGCTTCAATAAAGCAACGAAGAGCTTTGCTTTTCGCGTATCAGTTCTCCAATTCCCGATGTGTTTGTGGATCGTTTGATTTTGTTCCATGGGGCTTTCAATCAACACGAGGACCTATCCGATAGGAGAGCTGCTGCGTGGACACCTGTCTGGAAAACAAAGAGTGTGAAACTGGGGTGTCACCCTCTTGCCAAAATAACAATGCTTCAACAAAAAAGAGAAATAACACACTTGATCACTTAAGCACACAGAGGCTCCAGTGTGAATCCAAGGCGGCAATAGGCTCTATGATGGCTGCTGGTCTCTTTATGCAGGGCGTCAAAGAGGTCTTCAATCAAGTACTGGTCATGGCCAAAGTCGTTCTGCCGCCTTCGGGCCTGCTGGATAGTGCTGGATCACGCAAAATGCATCGAATGGAACAGAGCATTTTTGGGCCAGGAGTTGTCGGAACCCTCATTCTGTTGTCAGGTTGGTTGGAAAATGTTGGTTTCTTTTTTCCGTCGGATCAGGTATCCGAAATGGAGTTTTTGGCTGCAACAAGGCCTTTTCCCGACAAATCTTATCACTGGTTGCTGGTCCCCTCTGTCACAGGTGAGAAAGAAAACAGGTGAAAACAGGTGCCTTGCTGAGAGACAGAGGCTTCGGAAGGCATTCCACCATCATGCCTGAGAAGAAGGCTTGGCAATAGTCCAGCAGAAGGGGACGGAACTGCTGGGCGACTCCCTCTGCAAAGCTCCCGAAGGGCACTAACAGGATGGTGTCGGTGTGCTTGCCTCAGTGCAAGCATTCAGCTGTAGAAAAAGGTTACACCTGAAAGAAAGAAAAGTCTACAAAGCAGTGCTGTGGAGCTTCCATCCTCCCTCACGAAAGAAGCGCAAGTCAAAGATAGCCCAGCTAACCCCGCGGCATGGACTCAAGCAAAGATACAACCCCTCAGTGGTACACCTTTGATAGTTGAGGCAGTGTTTCTCAGATTGGCTATACCACGATTGATTGCCGGGTGCTCAGCATGGTGCATTTAAGAGGCACAACACTCTTAAATCTGGATCCTCCTTTCAGCCAAACACAGAACATCCTCCTGGCTCTGCCGACCGCCCTCATTCGATCCATTCGGCGCTTGGACATCTGTCCAAGCCACCCGGGGTCGCGGGGTACTTCATCCGCCGGTGGTAAGTGCTGAAGCTCTGCCCCGTCTCCTTGTGCTCCGCCAGCCAATCGCCCTTGCGTGGAAGGCCCAAAGGTAGGAAGAGCTCAAAGTCTGGGGTACCTGGGAAGCTGAAAGCTGCGAGGTGCTTAAAGCGAGCTGCTGGAGAATTCGGAGATCAAAGAAGTGGTGGTGATGGTGATGGTGATGGTGATGGTGATGGTGATGGTGATGGTG